CGATCAGACGTTTGTTCTTAAGAAAATACAAGCTATTTGGACCACAAACCCGAGCTTCTAATATAAACTCCTTTTAATAACCTAAACAATCACGGCTTCTTCAGTACATTTTGTAACAAAAATATTTTATTCAACAAACTGAGAAGAGGTAGACGGAAAAACTATATGTATCAGATCTACTATATAGAATCCAAGCCCGTTTTCATTATTTGCTTTGCAAATAAAAATGCCCTATCTTTATACTTCTTACCTTTTTCTGGGCTTTTTTCTTTTTCACAAATGCATCGATCATACTGCGAAAATTTACCGCCAAAGTATATAAGAATCAATGTTATTATTAGCACCATCACAATACCAACCTTTGTGGATTTTCTGTAATATAGGCCTATGTACAAGGTTCCTGAAATCTAACATCAAACTTATCTAAGCCAAGTCATTCTTTATTCTGAAGAATTTTTACATTAAAACTGAAAATTCTTTTATCCTAGCTCTAAGTGAGTACTTAGAAGCATTATCTTTAGCCTTTCAAGTAATTAATTCTAAATATATTCTGGAACAAGACACAAACTCAATAGGTGCTAATTCGACCATATGTTGATCGAATTTTCAAGAGTTTGAGCAGCATATTTTCTATCATTAAATGGAGTATTAATCCACATATTAAAATCAATTGACTTTCTATACATTTCAGTGAATAATTGCCAATTTTATGTGAAGCCTTGAATGCATAATCAACATTTAATTTAAAAAGCATCTCCCCATTAGTAGAGGTGCATTTTTAAATGCAGGAAATCAATATATTGTGGGGGAGGGGAAATATTCAATCTAAATGAGACACAATTACTTGATTCTACTAACTGCAAATTACACTGATTTGCGAGAATAGGAAAATTTTCTACTTTTTTAATGTATGATGTTTTGTAGGTTACTCTTTTCGGAAAAATAATTAGGAAATCTTTTATTCAATAACCCACTATTTTTTTAGATTAGTAAGAATTAGAAAAAGAAAAAGCCGAGAAAAAAAAACTGTATGTAGAAAATCTGTATAGTCACATAATTAATATATTCAGTATAACTGCTAACAACAAAATTTCACACCAATTATCGATCCAATAATTCTATCGGTATCCTAACAATTTTCTTACATCTTTCTTTATCACAAGCTATTTTTCCTGTCTTCCTTCTATATAATTCTCCTTCATATGTCTCGAGTAAACCATCACTCTTCTTTTCCACCATATTAATACTGTATTCCTAGTCATGTCTCTCACTATCAAGCTTTCTTATTTAAATATCTTACCCCAAACCATTTCATTTCCCAGTCAAAAGTCAAATATTTTATTGTTTTCAATTCCTTATAAACCATCCATCCTAAGTCTATAGCAATTCTTAAAATATCACTGAGATAATTATTCATCCCTCCATACAATTGATTTATGGGATCCATGATAAATAGCTTCCTAAATTTAGGTACAAAACATATTTTTGTATCTTGATGCACACATTAAGCATTAATACCCACATATCCCTCTAATCTTATTTAATTAGATATGCCCTACAAAAAACGATAATGAAGCACCACTTTGGCCAAATGATTATTCTAATTTTGGGGCTTTTATATTGCAGACTCATAAATCAGAGTAGATATACTGAAAGGTAATACTTAAAAAGTATTATATTGCAGTCATCAAGCATTCTAGATTATCAAGAAATATACCTATTTGTTTAGATTCAATCAAAGTACAACCAATGTAAAATGAGATGTAAATCCCAAAAAAAGGTTTCACAATACTTTAAATTAGAAAGTTCGAAATCTTCTCTTTCTTCACTCTTAGTACATAATATTCATGAACGCACAACCTGAAAGACTCTTCCAAAAATAATATATTGAGAACAAGAAAGAGAAATATATTAGTTTATTTCAATTTAACTGAGTTGCAATTTTATTTATAATTATAGAGACAAATAATATAAAACCTATAAAAATGAAAAATTCTCATAGCCATTTTCAGCTTCTTTTGAAATATCCTTAAAATAGTTGTTAGCACCATAAACATAAAGAAGACACTCTTTGGGTTTGTTTCCTTCTCTATTAACACCCATATACCATGAATCTGCAATGGGTAACAATGTACTGTTGGCTCCATCGTTAATGTACTTTTTCCAACCTAATTGAGCTTCCAAAGTAGGCCTAATTCTTTTGTAATTATTCTTTTCTGTATAATTAATGGCATCTCTAATCCACTCACTTTGAGTTAAAGCACAAGTGGGGCCATTACAGAAAGCACTTGGGCCTTGAGGTCCATACATGAAAAATAAGTTAGGATACCCATAAATTGTCATACCTAAATGAGTATAAGTCCCATTTTTCCAGGTTTCTCGAAGTGATACGCTATTTTTACCCTTTAAATCGATTTGGTAAAATCCACCTGTAACTGCATCGAAACCAGTAGCATATATAATAATGTCAAAATCGTATTCCTTTTCTAAGGTTCTCAATCCAGTCTCGGTGACTTCGGTAATAGGGGTATCCCTAATATTGACAATGTCAACATTATCCTGATTAAATACTTCGTAGTAACGTTGTTCAAGGCTTGGTCTTTTAGTGAAAATAGGGTTAACTTGTTTAGCAGGAGCCAACATTTCTCTCTTTCTTGGGTCCTTAACTCTCTCAGAAACCTTTTCTCTCCAGTATTTATAAGCTAACTCATTAGTCTTAGGGTCAATAAACACGTCCTTGAAGTTTCCAAGCCAAAACCTGAAACCCCCCTTTTCCCAGCAATCATCAAATTTTTTTTTATTTCTTCAGGCAAACATTCCAGAGCAACACGGACATCAGCCTCGAACTCAAAACCTGAGTAAGATGTTTCTCTCAACTTACGAAAAATCTTCGGATAGCTAGCACGTCTTTTCAATTGAATCTCCTTATCTTTTGGGTCATCTGTTCTTTGCCTCATAGGAAGTGCAGTGTTGGGAGTCCGTTGAAATACCACTAATTCCTTAACACCAGCTCCAATTTCTTGAACCACCTGGACACAAGAAGTGCCAGTTCCAACAACAGCAACTCTCTTGTTCTTTACATCCACTTCTTTCCAAGGCCAGTCAGCAGTATGGAACGATGTACCCTTAAACTTATGAGTATCCACGCCTGGAGGATACATCTTTTTAGCAGCAAACCCAATGCAAAGAATCAAGTATTTACATCTGTAATTACCTTCTCCTTTCCCAGTAACTTGAACATCCCACAAGTATTTTCTTGGTCCCAGTGTGCTTTACTGACATTTGATTCGAAAGTATAATCTTTACTCACGTGGATTTGTGAATCTGCATATTCGAAGTAATTTTGCAACTCTTTATATCCAGGAAAACGTTCTGAAAAAATCCAGCCTTTACAGGTTTCTTCCAACCATAATTGGTAGCAAGGAACTTCGGTGTCAACTCTTGCTCCTGGGTAGCGATTGTGATGCCATACACCTCCTAAATAGGCTCCCCTTTCTAAACCATGAACTGAATAACCAGCTTGTCTCAATTTAAAAAGTTCGGTAATACCGCCGAAACCACCACCAACGACTAATGCATCGTAATATTTAGTACACATAATTAGCTACTTTGTCTTGTTTGATTGATAAATCTTGAATAAAATTTCATGAACCTTTCTGTTATATATACCTGTTTTGTTCGTGGAGAAAACTATATCTTCAGTACGATACTTCATTTGCAATTCCTTCGGATGTACAATTTCCCCAGGAAAATATTTGTTTGTGACTTCGGCGATATATTGAATTTCCAAAAGTTTTCTACTGTAGCTTACATTTCCGAGATAACTTACAGATCCTGTTTCAAACGCTAGAAACAGAACTTTTTTTACTCCGCAGTAACCCGATAGAAAATGTGAGTCTAATATATCCCTCATCGGGAAAGAAGGTAAAGGTTTAAAGTCCGATAAAAGCCAACTATTGTAAACGAAAACGTCCTTACCAATTCCAATTCTCGAGAGGAGAAGAGGTTTTTGTGTTAGTAAAGAGCAAAAGCATCAAGAGATAAAACTATTTTCAAAGGAGATATTTCAGAAAGCTAAATAATATATTCTACGACTATAAAATTCTACCAAGAATGTATAGTTACTATTATCTTTCTGCAATATTATAATTTACTATAAATCTTTCAAAAGAAAAAAAAATTTCTAGTTTTAAATATATATAATTATATAAAAGCTGAAAGCGCTACGTTTAAGTTTTTATGGTTGGGATTTCTAAGCTTGAGATTTTAAGGCATCATAGACTGCAGTTTCTGCTTTTATAAACCCACCTGCTGATTCATCAAGAAATGGAAAAATTTGAGTAGCCCAAAAATTCCTAATTTATTCTTGATGTCTATCAAGTAATATAGATTTGCAAGACCGGACCAGTGAATAGTACCTTTTGGTCTTCCTGTGGATAAATCTTGCTCGTTTACCGAAAAACCAAGTGACACCAAGTATCTGGTTTTATATTTGGATCTAAAAGAGCTGATTTAGTGACTTCTTGTTGAAAGGACTCAAGATCGGTGACATGCAAATCTTTAGCTAAATTATTCTGAATAGCAATTTCATGAGTTTCTGGTTTGATAATCTGAAAGCCATCTGCAGTTTTTCCTCTATTCAACCAAATTCTAATGAACTTTAAGTAATCATCAACAGTTCCAAAAATACCATGGCCCCCCATATCCAATTTAGGATCTCTTTCTGGACCAAATGGAGCAATTAATAATCCTTCTGTAGTACGCATATGTGTTGAAACTATCTCATTATTCTTTATATGAAAGGTACACGAGTCCATCCTGGCAGGTCTGAAAATATTCTCCCTAATATAGTCTCCTAATTTCTGACCAGTCACAGCTTCCAAAACAAATCCTGCCCAATCCAAATTCATACCGTAATGCCATTTTTTACTAGGTTCAAATGTTAAAAATGTGTGATCCATTGTTGTTTCATCAACGCTGAGGATATTTGGTTGTCCATTTTGTTCAAGCATCCTCTTATAATCTTTGTTGAAGAAAGGATAAGAAAATCCTGCTGAATGGGTTAATAACATACGCATAGTTATATCTACAGTTGGAGGCTCAAAAATTGGCGTTTTCTCATCTTTCCAACCCTTAAGTATTCCAATATCTCCAATCTTCGATAAATATGTCGTTACCGGTGCATCCAAGTCAATCAATTCTCTTTCAACCAATTGGAGAATCGCTGTAGTTGTGATGGCCTTTGAACACGAGTAGTAGCAAAACACTGCATCAGTTGTCATTTTTTTTCCACTTTCAAGACTTGCAACTCCCTTTGAATTCAAATATTTTGTTTCCTTTTCATTTGTGACACCCAAAACAACTCCTGGAGCAAAGCTTTGTGCATTTGTATTGTCCACTGTACTGTAGAGAATATTATCCAAATTGTTGGAAAGCTCAGAAATCCATGATGGATCATTTAACGAAACCATTATCTTAGTTCCTAAGTTTTATACTGATCGTTTTCAAAGAATAAAAAGATTGAACTTATATAGCTGGGCGTGTTTTCACCATGCTTATCCGTAGCAAAAATTCCCCTCAATAGACATTTCCGGTGAGCTCATCTATAGAAAAGTACCAAAGCCTGCAATTTATATACGTTAACGTAGGGGAAATTCAAATCAAGCCACGCGTATACGGTTGGAGGACTATAGTAATCAGGACAAGTTGATTCCGGACGTCATGCGATTAGTAGATCAAGGAAGAACTTTCTGAGAGATCTTCTGTTTGAAAAGCTTCACCCATTGCCAAAGATTAAGAGTTTTATCATTTTAAGAAGTGCACCGCATCCGTCGTCGATAGATAGCTGTGGGTCGTAATGTCTGCGAATGTTTAAAAATAGTAAAAAAGGTTTCCAACACTCACGAAAAAATTTCACAAAAGGCTAGTTCTCGCAAGCCATAAATCTTAATCTGCACTTTTGAGGACCAAATTTTTTCGGTACCAGACCGTTTTATAACTTATGGGTGGGAAAATAATCGTGTTGAATCTATAGGAAATGCCGATACATTTTTGCATAAGGTAAAAGTTTTTAGAAATAGAGACTATTTAAGGATAAATCCAACGATTGTGTTTTTTTACATACAGGGCATTCTGTTAAAGTATATGATTATCATAAAAACTCAAAAAAAAAAGTTTAACTTATGATAGTAATCATCTATGGTAATAAAATTACGCTCTATAATTGCAGCCTCTCGATAATTATTCCATAAAAGATAAATTTCCATCCTTTATCACGTAATTTAAAGCTGCCTTAGATTGAGCCTAGGCATAATTACTTCAAAAAACGATCCAATTGACCCCATAGCAATCAGATTTTAGCATTCTCAGATTGTCCTTTTATATTTCTAATCTGCTGGATGCCCAACCTTTCTGACGGTGTTTAAGGAGTTATTTGTCATTTTATGTCCGATGAACAACCACTGCAGTATAAGATCTACCGGTAAGTGTATAGCTGTTCCAATATAAAGGAAATCACGAATAGAATAATGAAGTTTGGTCCAATGCCAAGGTATTAGTTCTTGGCCGTCAAAAATATTGAAGCCAAGTGCACATTATGTAACCATTGCTGGGGATAAAAAATTTAACTATTCTGATGTGAAGATTTTCAACAATACTATGCCAACAGTTAAACCTATTTTTAGAATGATTCTCTCTTCAATTGGGTCAAAGCTGTACATTTATAAGCTCCCTGGAGTTGAACAAACAATGGGCTGAGGTAGGCAAAATTACTTGAAGAAAAAAAGGTCAAAATAACCATTGATATTAATCATATCCTGAAAAATCTTCACGACGCTATCAAGCGAATAGAAAGTCAAAAAGCAAAATTGTAGTTAAAATAGGTGCGTGAATATTAGTTTTGTTATTCTTTATAATCAGAGATTAAAATTCTCTCTTTAGAGCTTGTTGGCAGTCTTAATTCATAAATAACTTTTACATAAAAATCTAATTCATAATATATTATTACAATAACACAAATATAAAATATCTGATAATCTACTCAACAATCTTCGTAGTATTTGGTAAACTGTTATACTGGGAGAAGCAATGGGCATATTATCATTACAACGAGCGTTAATTAAACCCAAACTGCAAATACATTGCAACTAGGGTAAAGCCAAAGCTGATATGATTTTATCTTGCGATCCTTTAATAGATTTCAACATCAACAAGTACTTTCTCGTTCCAACTTATGAAAATTCCTAACATTAAACAGAACTTTTATTATCTAATAAAACGGAATTTCAACATTAAAAGCAATAAAACAGTGTAGGATGAAATGGCTGATACTGATACGAGTCCAAATAAAAAAGATTCGCCCCCCTCAAGACTAATTTCCAATTGAAAAAGTTATAAATTAAATGAATCAAACTTTTGGTTGATTTGGGAGTTGCATGGTATTTATTATTTAATGCAGTCTTAATGATCCTATCGTATAGAATTACAGACTTCAAGGAATTTTACGAGATCTTACTACGCCCCTGGGATGTTGAGCTTTGAAAATTAAACAAAGAAAAGTTTGCACACAGTTGAAGGGTATAGTAAGCTCTACCATGCTCTTTAACCAGACGATAATGACTGTTAGCATATTTTTCCTGTAATAGCGGAGGTGTCTAACGGTAGTCCAACTTTCCATTCAAAGCCAGGTACCAGGGGATCTTACCTGTTTATCACTTTAGATTCAGGTAATTTGACTGATGCAACATATTTTTCAGTTCCTATTCTCGGCTTCATTCTAGTTCTACTTTTGATCTCAATATTACCTGATACTATCGGAAGAGAGTTCGATAAACCTTGATTGGACAGAACCTTTAGGGGTCAACCTCTTCAAGAATAGAAACAACTTCAATTTCAATGGACATGGCCACATATATCGAATCTCCCAGGGTAAAAATAAAATGGTCTTGTAGACTTGGTGGTACAAATTGAGATCGCCCTTGATACTTTTGGAGCAAGGGAACTCAATGCACAGCTTGAGGATTTCCACGCACCTCGCAAAAAAAAGTAATTAATCTCCTTCATTCGGCAGGTTGCGACAGAAACATTTCATCTGGACTACTTGTAATTCAGGAGCGTCTTAATGCTAGCATTATTTTCATTTTTTTAATAGATTAAGAAATACATTCCACATTCCACCCAAAGGGATTTTCAAGTGCGGATGATAGTAAAGTTATGATTTTTTTTATTGTTACTGTTTGTTTGTTCTGATTAAGTAAACTCAAAAAAACAATTGAAACTTTTTGTATGGAGTTGAAGAATAATCCCAAAATTGTCTACAACAGTCTGATAATAAAATTTTAATAATAATCATATATATTGAATCAAAAAAATGGTAATTTAGTATATGAACCTAAAGTCAAGCCTTTTATTACCTTCATCAGTGGTTGTTGTTGCATATTCTAATTTCTCCTTTTCACTCAATCTTTGCCATTTTTTCTCCTTTTGTTTGTTCCTAAATTGGTAATAAAATCTTGAAAAAACAGCAACCCCGAAGCCACCAAATGCAATCCCAATTAATTGGGTATTACCACGGTGATATAGTGGTGCATCATCCTGTAAATATTAGCACCAACGATAGAATCTGCCTGCGAAAACATGTTCACCACAGCTGTTGAAACTGCTCTAGTTTTCACTGAGTTTGAGTTAGCAGAGACCCAGCTTGTTGACAAAGCTGTCATTGACGGGTGGCCCAACAAAACAGTCAAAAGCGCGAAGGTTCCCCAAGCATGTTCTTGTTTTCCAGATCCTGACCAATATCTCATAGGAATTAAAGTAGATATACACCATAGTGCATTAAATGCAAATAGTAAGGAACGTGAATTGAGTACCTCGGAAAGATACGAGAATAGGAACATAGTAAAAAGATTTAAAATTGAGTTGGGTATCGAAAGCGCATTTGTTTTAAACGTAGAAAATCCAAGTTGACGAAGGGACAACTGCAAGTACGCAGAGACAGGACTTGAACTCAATTCAATAAGGAAGCGAATAAAATAAACTGGGAATAAATCATAATCAAAAAATGATTTAAACAATTCCTTCAAAGTAACAGGTTGTCTATTATTCATGTCACCTTTATTTGGATCATCACGTAGTACTTTATTAACCACTATCTTTTCCTCCCTCTCAGTATACCAGCCATTTGGTCGATACCATGCTTTAGTTTGTACTGGTGAAGCAGGCATTAAGAACCAAGAGGCAATGCCAATGATCAAGGTAAACGCTCCTTCAATAAGGAACAACCATCTCCAACCATCCCCTAAGGCCGAAGTTTTAATTTTCAACAAAGCAAAAGCTAATAGACTAGAAATGATAGTAGTAATCTGGTTTGAAGCATAAAAGTAGCACATCCTATTAGTATACTCTTTTGAAGTGAAGAAATAACTAATCCACAAGCAAGTATCACAAATAAACCCACCTTCTAATAAACCAATTAACGCTCTAGTGACATAAAATCCATTTTTTCCGGAAATAATAGCCTGGAACATTGCAACTATACTCCATAAAACCATTTGAGTAGGAATCCAAATATCAGCTCCTATTTTTTTGGAAATTAATTACGAAGGTAGTTCTGCTGCTAGGAAACACACCAAATTAATGGTTTTTCCAGTATTCAATTGATTAGTAGTTAAGTTCAAATCTTCTAAGAAATTATCGGAAAGCGCTTGTTGAAGGTTCGTTCTATCAAAGTTTAAAGCAGTGAACATCATAAAAGACCAAAAAGTCACGTGCCAGTCATTTTTCCATGTAACCTTCTTTTCCTCCTTTTCACTCCAAGTGAATTCAGGATCGAAATGAGTTCGACACTCATATTTGGTCTCCTCATATAAATTATAATAGTACTCAGCAACAGCGGGGTCTTGAAAGATGTGTTCATCCTTTTTCACGCTCTCTAGGTCTAAAAGAGTACTTTCGATAAAAGCTTTATCTTTCTTATCTATAGAAGAAATACTCATTGTAGTTAGAATAAGTTACTATAAAATAGTTCATTACCAAGAAATGTATTTATTTATATATCATTGTATCCAAATATTTTATAAGCCACAACGTAGTTATTTCCCTTTTATATTTGACTTTAACTTAGATTTGAATATCGTCATAATATTAGTGTGGTTCAAGCTTTAACCTCTTTTACCTATGGCTGAAATTGGATATAAGCAGGATACTATGAACTAGAGCAAATATCAGCACAACAATTAGGTAAATAGATCTATTTTTACTTAGAGTATTATAATTATGATATTGACTTATCTCTTTTAGCTATTTGCGTTTAGTTTGCATCAAGTTAAAATTTTCACTCCTCAGAATGTCCATAATTAAGATATGTATACACTAATATTGTAAATGATCCAATTAGTGTGCAAATTGTGGATTAACACTATCAAAAACACGATTAGATTCATAATTAAAAACTGATTTACAAATTATGTTGTGGCTTATATTCAAATTTTCAATTTTCTGAGAAAGTGGCATAATTTTTTACGGATTCGAACAGGCAAATAATTAATTAAAAAGATATAGCTGGAATGTGGCAATAATGTACGGTAATTTAGATAATCAAGCCAAATGTGCCTATACATTCAATAATCGATGATTTCTTATAAAAAGCAAGAATTTATGTTGAGTGTAAGATTTTTTTAAATACTTATCGATTTCGGGGCTTCTAAAAGATTACGCACCTTTTGAATTCAGCTCCAATTAGGGGTGGTACAAACAATAGATACTTTTAATTTCAATAACCGCAGAAAAAAAATACCTTGATGAATTAATCATATCAGATCCCTTCTCCAAAAAACCACCTATTTTATTGCCCTTATTTTCCCTGTCATGAAAAGATGGAGTTATGACCATATAAAAATGCTTGGAATATAATCGACTAATATTCGCTAGGAAAACTTGCAAGCTAGTATTGGTCATTCACTTTATATGAAATTATTACAGATGGTTATAGTAGAATATTTAGGCATATATGAGGTATATTCTTAGTTACCTAACTAAAAAGTACTATAAATAAGGCTCTACCCAGTGAAATCTGAGAGAAACAGGAGTGAGCACAGACAGTTAGCATAGACAGTTGTATATAATCTTTGGTCAGCCCATCCCGACGGAATTCTTAGAATTGGATGAGCAGTTAGCGGATAACAATGTGGAATGACATAGAGATATAAAAATATAGGTACTGTGTAAAACAATTTGATCAATAAGAACTAAAAGGTTGGTACTTTTGTCAGTTGCGTTGTACCGATTCTCGCTCTATGCACGAGTGCGAGATTGATTATTAATATATAATAAACCTGGCTATAAATATAAATATATATATATATATATATATAATAAATATATTATTATCTGATAAATTTCGAACTTAATAAGTTCAGTAAAAATGTCTATAAATTTAGGTCAATACGCCTGT